TCGCCGCAGATTTCATAGGAGCGCTACTCGTACATTGACTCTGATAAGCTGATAAGTAGACACACCAGCTCATTCTGTTAATCGAATTAATATTGTCCTCTACTATTACAAATGACGCCATATTTCTGGCATATTTCCTTTTGCCCTTCTCCAGCACTAAGAAAAGATTGAGCCGGCCGTGTGGCTCGGATAAAGCAGTTGTTACATGTGAATAATTACAAACTAAGCCTCACTGGATCACAGACGCCTACTCGGTCAGCCAAGACATTTTGGCTGGCACCATCCTGTGGTTAACTTACTTGACCAGCGTTGGAAGCCGAGAGCAGTGGAGGAGAGTCGAATATTCTCTTAAGCGGGATGCACGATTTGGATCTATTGAAGTTGCTCCAGAGTTTTGGATCTGTAGTCTTTATCTCTTAGGTTATTTCCTACATTTTCGTATAGTCGTTTGCAGCGTCCTGCCACTTTTTCCATCATCTGGTACTGCTTTTCGCTTTTGACAATGTTCAGTGTTTCATCACCTTTTCTACTTTGGTCTGCTTTTTATGCTGCCTCAGTCATCTTTTCAGTAAATGGGTCTAAACTTAAATGCCCCTTATAAAAGTTTATCTGAGCCCCACTGACCGACACACATACAGAAACGTCGGAAATTTCGCATTTCCTCAAATTTGATGCCGGGGTTTTCAAAGCTGTCAGACATTCTTTTGTGTATACATATATAAAATAGACCAACAGACCTTTTCCTTTTTATGATAAATATAGAAACACAGAACACCACTAGTCGGTCAGTTGGAACCAAGTCATTTTCGATCACTTCAACTTCAAGTGATTCAGCCAATGAGCTGCGTCTGTTTGCTTGAGTCATAGCAGTTGCTGTCATCATGGACTTTTTCATTCACTGTCCGTTTCCCTGTTATTATGTATAATTCAACTGAGACACTTGAATTATGTGGTTGTTAAGAAGCAGATTGTCAGCTACTTTTACAAGGTGTTCAGCGGTGCCTCCTCCGTAATGAAACGATTGCCCCATATTTTCGGTGTTGTTTTAATTGAGGTGAAACTGTTCTTAATTCTTCGGCCTTACTTCTATTCCTCTGCTTCCACAGCTGTACGTTACATCTTTAAAGTAGAGCATGCAAAATCATGCTGCGTCTTACAGGTTGTTAGCACATGAGCGTGTTTGTCATCATCGAAAACTTAAATGTGATCAGTGTTGACTCGTGATAGACCCTGTCCGCATAGATGCCATGCGGATTCATCGCATGTACTTCTAAACATATTTATCACTTAGCTGCCTTAAGGAAGTATGATGTAGTTTTCTTCCACGAGCTTTTTTATCATACTCCATCATATTGTCTGCCTTGAGGTTTTATGATTGAAGGTTGAGTAAATTTCTGCGTCTAGAAGGTTTCAGCACGTTTTTGCTTGATTTTCTCTGTGATTCCTGGTTCTGCCTTGATGCACCTGACGTACCAAGCAGTAAGCATACCGGTATAAAAACCGTAACTGGCTATAAACGTGTCGATCGGTATTTCCGTATGTTTCGCCATCCAAACCTCATGAATGTGTGTCCTCATTTATATCTTGTGTACTGAACAAAGATGCCACTAAATGTCCTACGAAGAGAAATAACGGAACGTTGTTTGGTGCGTTCAGAGTTGAGCTTGTTAATGTTTAGCTCTGTTTATTACTACCTGTTTTTCTGTACATGGTGTTAAAATCTGGTTCGAAACTTTTATTCATAATATAATCACCTAATATTAAACGAAATGCCTGGTCTAACGCTTAATAACCCTCCCCCACCCCACCTGTTGAGCAACATAAACAAGGGGCCGTAAATACACCGTTAATTCTGGTCTTGAAGGAGTTGTGCCATTTGATTTAGCACGGGAATAAATCCTACAAAAAATGTCGACTAAACTGCTTACTTCATTCCTCATGTGCTCGTAGTTGCACAGGAGCAGTTTTAGCAGGCCTCGGTTCCGCGGTACCTGCGGTGCTTGTAGATGCATATTCCACCTATTTATTCGTCGAAGCAACATCTTGCTTATCATGCATGGTGTTGCAGCTGCTTTAACTTTTAAATTACTACCGCAAAACTACTGTAAAGCCATAAGCTATTCAATTTTACTCCTTTACGTTGCCTTCCGTGTGTCTGATGACAGTGAGGTGCGTGTCACAAGTTCACTGGATCAAGAATTAAGTGAGTTTGCAGTCGCTGGAATTCTATTATCCGTTGTTCTTCCATCGTAAATGGAGAGACAACATCATTATGCCGGATTTCCTTGGTCTCAGTCATACAATTGGTGTGAAAAATTTTGCTTTCATTTCCTGTTATCATTAATTCAGTGTATCCAAGTTTTCCTTTCATTTAGTTCATGAATCGTGGTCCTCTCTTAACAGAATGGACAGCACGATGAAAAGACTCTATCATACATTGTTCAGATTAGACTACGGATAATGCTGCCTCCTCTTCGATATAGGGTCTATTGTTCGATGTGACTTTGTATACCACTGTCTTGACCACTGACTGCTGCAGAATTCACTCTTCATTGCTATGACAGTATATACACCGCATTTCATCCTGAAACCCTTACATCGGTGTTTGCGGGTTCTTGACATTGGAGACGTATTTGCGGGTCTCAGCTGGCACGTTTTCTTTAA